CTGTCCATTAGATGTAAGCTAATAAAGGAGCTGAACTGATTCTGGACTGTCTCGCTGTTGTTCTTGGGCTGATCCTGACAGGATAGTGAATCCTGCAGTGTGCAAGGGGGTTGCATCTGATTATCGTTTGGGGGTTATCACAAGCCCCGCACCATTAAGATCAGATACTTATGAACACTGACATTTTATTTCTATCAAGTTGAAGGCCTTCATTAGCCTAAAGAGATTGGTATATGCTATGTATGCAATCACAGGGTTGATCTAAAGTCTACAATTCCATTTCCAGCCTAGGATTGTCAAATAATTCATCAGACATAATGGATTAAGAAAAAGGCATTTTAGTATGGCTAGATTTAGAAGACTTTTTTTTTTCCTCAAAGAATCTGATGTCAGTTCTTTTTCCCCTATATAGACAAATTTTGTCACAGGAAACAAAATATTCAAAATCTAAGAGTCATGCAGGAACTCTCTACTGCTTATCCACTATTATTATGGTTATTTTCAAAAGAATTTACACATGAAAGAGACAATGAAAGTGTTTTATTTCTTGGGGAAAGGCAAAAGAAACCAGTTTACTTTTTGACTTAATGTACCTGACTTTTGTCAACTATTTGAAGTAATTGGATTTTAATAAAAAGAAAGAAAAAAAGGGCGCTGGGAGAAGACACTAACAAAAGATCAATACAGAACTCCCATTTTGCCATAATAAATATTTAAAATCTTAAATGGGAAGGTGTTTCATTCTTATTACCTATTCTGGGTAAGGATACCAATACAGTGCAAAAAGTTGTTGTTTTAGAAGTATCCTGAATGGACATTGCAGCCATCTATTAAAGTTTCATGGCAGAACAAGGCAATGAAAGACGGGCATTAGCTCTCTCTGAAATACTAACTCATGGAGCCCACACAACGATAATGAGATTTGCTATCCATTCATTACATTTTTAACCACCCAGCATCTGGTGAGCCCTGCTGTTTGCAGAAATTATTTGGTACTTACAGTACATGAATTTTATACCAAACTGTTATTATTTTACTATTGTACTTTTTGTATTTTAAAAATTGATAAATGACATAAATTCAAGTAAAGCAAATAGGTATCACTGCTCATCCACATCTGGTAACTTGCTAACAATTACGTACTCCTATTTTCAAGAAATATGTACAAGCTATACTATTTAAGGCTTGAAAGTAAGTCAGCAGTAATTAATATAAGGTTGGCATTAGATGTTTTTTATATTAAAGGAATTAAAGGAACTATATATAAATAAAAGTTAAAAATGAAGGGTGCACACAACTTCTGTTCCTGTTTTCAAAAATATGAAGTGACTTATTTAAATTATCTATTCTTTCTTCTGATAGGTAATAACAGTTTATTATATACATATGATAAAAAGGAAATCACTACTTCTGGGTTTATTATGCTGATTGACATATGAATAACCAATTAAGACAATTAGTATGACAATAATGCAATATTTGAGCCAGATATAAGAAATAATTGTTCCAAGATATAATACTCTCCTACATAAGCAATCTACCATCTGCATGTGATCTGAACTACTCTTGATGTAGCCCATAGAATCCCAAGGACCTCTCTCCATTTTTTTTTTTTTTTTTTTTGTACTGCCCAACTAATCAGCCATTAGCTGGGTACATTTTCTCACTGTCAGTTGAAGTTATTTTGAGGAATGGTTAAAGAATGCCTGCAGAAAAAAACAGCTCAAATTAGATTCCAGGAAGAACTTCCTGATCATACAAGCTCTTAGTCAGTGGAACAGGTTGCCACATGAAGTGGCACTGGAGGTCTTCAATCAGAGGCTGGATGGTCATCTATCAGAGATGCTCTAATGGATACTGCACTTATGGAGGGGTAAATTTGATGACATCTAAGGTTCCTTCCAACTCTATAATTCTATGAACAATGAAGCACTATAAGCACCAGATGTTTAGAAAAGGTTAAGTCCATCACTACTCAAAATCATGCTCTGCCTACCAGGCTAAATTAAGTATCTACCTACTGCCTATTCCTCTGTGAAAGGATTTCTTCCCAAGATCATCATATGAATGACCAGTGGAAAATGAGAGAAAAATAACACCAGAATTCTCATGTTATTGTGTATTATTAATTACAAATTTTTTATCTGGATCCTTAAGAATAGTTACAGAAGGAATATTTCTTTCAAAAGACAGAAAATGAAGTCCCTCTATTACTGGAAAGCATGAAATTTATGGTGAAGTAGAAGAAATAATTCACTGAAATAGTGAAATCAGTTGAGACAATCTTAAAGTATTAGTTGCAAATTTTCATACACTTTTATGATTTGAATTGTAAGTCTCACAAAATGTTACAGCATTTTAATGAAGAAGATAAATAGTGCAGGCAGTTTAAGTTTAAGGCAAGTACAAGTCTACTCACAGCTTTCTTCATCTTTGTTTAAAATCCTATTCAGGAAAGAGATCAGCAACTGAGACCATCCCTTTAGGGTCCTGGGTTGTGTGCCATGACATATGTTTGAGTATTTAGCTTAAAGAACTTTACCTTAATGATGTTCAATCAATATTTTCTTTTATGTTTATTAAGTAATACTCAACTCTGACTTTATAAAAAGAAAATGATAATATGCAGTTATTTCAATTTTAAATTAGTTTCAGTTTTCCAGGAGAAATGATAGAATCATATAGAGCATGGAATAACTGTGATGGATTGCTTCAATTCATTTCAGGGAAGATAAAAGAGATTTGATAATTACTGGAGTTCTGAACTTAACCTTTGATTAAAAGTTTGGCTTTCTTAGCAACTTTATTGGATAAATCAAGGCAGGGTATCTCAAGGTGGCTGCTATGCTGAATTCTCTTCTCTTGATTCAGGTTTTTTTCCCCCCTTCTTCTTCCTTAGGAGGCTACATTGTCAATCTATATTCATAATTTCTGGAGATAAGTATGTTAGACACATTTGATTAAAATATATTAACTCCATAAACTATGAATATTTTTTTTAAGTGACACAGTTAAGAGAAAGTCAGAGCAGCCTTCTCCTTAAAAAAGAACAAGACTAAGAGAGCAACAGGAGAATTCAATGCAACTGTCATCACTGATGTATTCTGTCTTGAGTCATTCAATAAAGTTGTTAGCAAAGCAAAACTTTTATGAGCGAAAGGGAGAAGGCCATTGAGTCCTTTGAAATGCTTTATCAGCACTGAGTGTGGTAGTGATTACTAAAGCATTTGACACTTGGTATTTTATGGATAAAAAGGAAAATCACTCACTAGCAATTCCTTTTGTCATAGTCTTCTCCACTGCATTCTACTAACAGACATTCAAGGACAAAAATAATGTCAACTCCACCTATCTGGAAGCAGGAAAAATAAAGAGCTATGGATAATGTCTAATAGGCCTAGATCCTATTCTTTTATTAAAGTAATTTAAACAAGAACCCTAAAGAAAAATACACTAATAAAGTAATGGATGAAAAGAATGAAATACTTTAAATATTATTTTTCACACTGAGGAAAAGAAATACCACTACTTATTAGTAGCGCCAGTAGTTTCAATTTAGAAGTGCAAAACAGTAATTTCTTGAAATATTATGCATATCCCATAGGAAATGTCTTCATTAGTGCATGAGATCATGTTTATCTACACACGAGGTACTGTTTAGAACAGCAAATCTCCACTTAGTAATTTAGGATAATGTACTTCTAAATTTACAACTCTCTGAGGAGCTAAAATTGTCAGGCTCAGTATACTGAACAAACTTAAAGGAAAAATTATCACAAGTTTGTTGCATATTTGGTCCGTCTATCTACAAATGAATCATTTGGGTCAATCATATGTGGGGAAAATTCATCAGGAGGTAGAGTTTCCCAGGGCAGGCATGTTGAAAACATCAATAACCAGCTGAACCAAGACTAGGCAAGAAAAATGCAAAACAGAGTTTCTGTTAAGCCATGTGAAAGGCAGTAGAAGGTATCAACTTTAAACCTTAGAGGGTATAAAAACAGTAATTAACTGTTTGAAGCAGTTTTAATCTTAGTGTGGAATAAAGGTTCTCTACTAGCTGTGCCACAATGAGTATTTGGAAAGCTTCAATCAAATTTGATCCAGCTAAGGGATAGCATATTCTTCACTGTGAAAACTTTAAGGGAAAAGACCTAGAAATCCTTGAAGAAACTCAGCTTTTTTTTTCCAAAAACAAAAACAAAAACTGATGATATGAAAACTTCATTACCATCCAAAAAAGGAGAGATTGGGAACCATGCAACTAGATAAAGTCTTCCGCTCTGGCTGAGTTCTCATTTAAAAGTAAGTCAGATTCTGGTTTGTAAACTTGTGGCTTACTGTTCACCCAAATCTACCCCTTGCATTAAAGCAAAGGTAAGTTCTCTGGAGTATCATTTATTTTATGTTGTATAGATAGATATGGATTTCAGTGTGCCAGAAGTAATTTCAACATGCATACATTCATTGCATTCCACAGTACTTACAGTGTTTTCAAAAATCAATAGCAATAATAATAATAGCTATTCCATTTTTAGATGTCAGAATGATCTTCTAACAGCAGAAACTTCTGTCCCCACTAAACTATTTCTATTTCTTTTATACTGGCCACAATTCAGAATCCATTCACTTTTTACCTTATTGCTTCTTGCTTTTTCACAGTCGATTCTGGAATGTGAACTGGCCACACCCTTACTATATTTCTTATCAGTGTAAGAAAGAAATGCATGCTTTATTTCATCATATTTTTGATGAATTTTTTTTTTGCATTCAAGTCCATAGCAGACAGACTATTCCATAGCCAAACCCTATTCCCCATACCTTGGATATCTGAAGGACCACTTATCTCCAATTGTTTCTGCCCATTAAGTACATTCCAGCAGGGTGGGTACGCCCCAGGTCCCCTCCATTAAACGCTGTCTGGTGGGACCAAGGAAACATGCCTTCTCTGTTGCGGCCCCCACCTTCTGTACAAGCATTCCCCACCCCCACCCCCAAGATAAGGATGGAGTCCCTCTCCTACGGGTTCAGGAAGCTTTGAAAACCTGGCTTTGGTCCCAGGCCTGAGGTTGATGTTTGTTATTTGTCTAGGGCCCCTATTTTGTTTTGTTGATTTTGTTGTTGTTAGATCATTTTAATCTGGGCTGTCTGATTTAATGTTTTTAGCTGTTTTTATGTTTTTTCTAGTTTTGTATGCTGTCCAGAGTCCATTGGAGTTGGCTAACTAATAAATTAAATTATATAATAATAATAATAATAATAATAATAACAACAGCAGCAGTAGTCCTTGGGAAGGACTCGATAGGTAGATAAAAATGCCAAATCCAGTCTAAACATCTGGCTGACTGTGCAACCAACAATAATATTCACTTTATTCTTGGGAAGGACTCGATAGGTAGATAAAAATGCCAAATCCAGTCTAAACATCTGGCTGACTGTGCAACCAACAATAATATTCACTTTATTCTTGGGAAGGACTCGATAGGTAGATAAAAATGCCAAATCCAGTCTAAACATCTGGCTGACTGTGCAACCAACAATAATATTCACTTTATTCTTGGGAAGGACTCGATAGGTAGATAAAAATGCCAAATCCAGTCTAAACATCTGGCTGACTGTGCAACCAACAATAATATTCACTTTATTCATTTACTTTATGTAAATCAACAGATATATACTAAACTTTACATTTATTTATTTTGTTGAAGAGCAA